TTGCGCTACGCCAACAGCTTTTCACGAATCGACTCATCAAAATCCGTACTTTGTTAATTTTGGTAGAAACATGATTTTGAATGGTAAGGATTTCGCTAGGAAGGACAATTTAAGAGAACTTGATGACCCTAAAGTAGATTTGCCTAATATGGTTACTAAAGACTTAAGAGATTTATTTGTTGAGGTTCGGAAGAGGTTGGATAAAGCTTCTGCTAAAGGTGAAAAAACTTACAACCTGCGGAGACGCCGTGAAGAATTCTTGCCTCATCAGGCGGTTTGGAGACGTAATTTTGCTCTTTCGGATGCTTCCAAGTATTTTACCAGCAAGTTAGCTCCTAAATGGTTAGGCCCTTTTTATGTTAGGAAGAAAATCAATCCTTGGATGTACGTGTTGGAGGATGACAATGGAACTGATCGTGGAACATGGAGTATCAAAGATCTAAAGGTGGCAACTGCGACAGATGAGTTGCTTAGCAGCTAGCGCTGCGGAAAATTTCTTGCTAAATTTTCTCTGGATGGGGGAGTGATGTTACGATCTGATTTCGCTCGACACCCCTCGTATATGCTAGTTTTGTTTTTAGTGACCTTCATTATGTTTGTATCTGAAATATGACCTACATACCCTATATTGGTGAGTGTTATTCTGCAAATTTAAATCAATAGTTCCCAATTTTTAAACGTACAGCTGTTGATAGGTTTCTGATTGTTGTTGGCAACTTTTGTAGGCAAAGAATTACATTATTGACGTATTTAGAATATTTTGGCGGTATCTTTCTGTGTCTTAATGTAGTAAAATATATATTTATGGTAGTACATACCTTGTGAGAGTGACTGAGGGTGAATGTTGGTCATTTGAAACTGTTTTTCTTCCCTATAGTGCTTAGGTGGATTTTCAGTTTTCAGCTTACGGCTGTCTGTAGGTTTCTTCGGGGCCTATGGTGGTGACTTGAGCGTTTCTGAGTGTGTTTATTATGTATAAAACTCGCTATATTGTTATGGCTATGTGGTAGTGTCACTTGTGACCTATTACTTAGTCCAGATGTGAAACTTACCAGGTTTTAACCTAGGTTTCTTGATGTTTGAGGAGGTTACCTGTGAGCTGGCTTGATACATTTAAATACCCCATTTTTTGCTGTCAATGTACACCTCAGTACCCATCAGCGGGTAGAGTTTCAATATTATTTTCTTTTTAGTTAGTTTTTTCTACAATGTAAATGATTCCAGTTCGACAGAAGGTTATAAACTATTCAGTTTTTGATAGTCATGGAAATAGAAGCCATGCGAATACATCTAGAGTGACCCGAGGCTCTTGTGTTAATTAGATCCAAGCTCGTCAATAGTTGGGTCGACGTGCCTATTTTTGTTTTCTTTTTTTTCATCTGTAAGGCGTCGCCAACGCTTTATAGTTTCAGTTTGGTGAGAACTATATGCTCATCGAGGTCTTAGAATCTCTGGACTAGTCCTAAAATGTAATTATATAATGTATAATCTTGTAAAACTATTTTTTATTGTTAATGACATTTGTCATACATTTATTTACCTTGTCGTTGAGTTGACGGACCAAATCGCTTCGCTAATTTATTTGCCTCGTTTATTGTAGTGTTCTGGGATATTATATTCAAAGTATTAAGTATTTTCCTTGTTAAAAAAGATAATGTTATTATATTCTCGGCTATTATTTTGACGTTTATCAAACACTGACATTCGGCAGTTTCTGTCAATGTTTAATGTCATTGTCAAAGGACGTTGACATTTGTGTTATTCAGTTACTTCTTCTTTTATCTTTTCTGGACTCTTGTTGAGGTAAGCATGTTATTCCGGATGTTCGATGATGACGTACTTGCGCAGATTAGCGAATTATCAGTTTCCGGACTTGACGGTGAAGCCATTTTTGTCGTGTGTGAATTCTGACCCAGCAAGCACGCAAAAGTTTTTCTGTGTAGTGAACCGGCTTTTCGACTTTTGAATAAGTTTTTTAGGTTTTAGAAAATCCAGGGATGTTGTAACTCCCAACTCAGTATATGGGGATTATTTTTCTTTAACCTACATTTGTGGATGACCGTCGTATGGTTATTTGTTCTGGCGTTTAAAACTGGATTTGTTTTTTTTTTGGAACAGTTTTTCATCCAACTCCCATGGTGGGATATATACTTTTTTAAGTCGTAGCCAAGCCGATCACCTGTGATTTTTGAAGAAAACCCTTATTAGTAAGGGTTTTTATTACTGGAGTGCACAGTTAAACCAACTGTCCCAATTAGAACTTGTTTCTGGTGTTCCACCTTAGAGGGTGAAACTTCGAACTAGCTGAATTATAGCAGTCTGCAGAGGAGGCAGGTGTTTTTACCTTACATGGATTTGGAATGGTAGCAGGGACAAACTGTTGTTTACAGCAGTGACCAACGGGGGACACTGACTCCAAGAAGGAGGTTTTATTTACTTTATTATTAAATTAACGGCACATTTTGCTGATCAAATTTTAATGAACATTTCTATTTAATCATTAATATTTTTAGGAAGGGGATTTTTATATGTAATACAAGAGTATGTTACATAGGGATTTTATATTATATTATCTTTTTTTTTCCTGGGCTCGTCTGACTATGTGTCTCCGAATAACACTGAAGCCTATTGGCTCATTGTGTTTTACCCCGTTAGTTCATAGCACCCACTCTATCACCTTTGTACCTTGTACAAGTTTGTACAGATTCTTGAGTGAGTGGGTTCTATACGTTGTTGGATCAACCTGGGGTTGTCCAAAAAGAGCCTGTCTTTTGCGATCTAGAGCTTCGCATTCGCTCAGTATGTGTTTGACCGTTTTTGGTTTCTTGTGACATAGTTGGCACATGAGTTCTCCGTTGTACATGCCAATTTTGTTCAAGTGTCCCTTTACTGGGGCGTGCCCGGTCATGAACCTTGTTATCACTTTCAACTGGTTCCTATTCATTAAGAGTAGTTCTCCAGTTCTTTTGGGACATGGTCTGCCTATGAAGGCTTTTCCATGTGCCTGTTTTGGGGTGCTTCCCCAATAGTTGATATGTTGTTCCTAAATTCAGTCATTTATTTTTTATTATTATAGGTTACACCAAGATCCTTTATTTCGGAGACTCTGTTTAATAGATCAGTATCCATTAGGTAGTCAAAAATAATTGGCTCTTTCTTGCGAGAGATTGTCATGACAAAGCATTTATGTATGTTAATATATAATTTATTATGAGTACTCCATAAATAAACATTATTGATATCCCTTTAAAGAGCTACACTGTCCCTCACTGTGTGTATTTTCTTAAATATTTTCAAGTCGTCAGCATACAGTAGACACTCTGAATTGTTTAGACAAGAAGGAAGGTCGTTAATAAATTTAAAAAAAGTACCTTAAATTATATTATCTTTAAGTATTTATTGTGATGTTCGAAATTTATTTTTAAATTAGATTTTGTTATCATTTTAATTTGATACTTAATTAATGAAATCCTTGAGGGTCAGAAGAAAGTCATAGGTATTTAATTATTTACCCTAGATCTTTTATATGTATTTGAAATGCATACTATTTTGTACTTACGTATGGTTCATAAGTCTTGCGAAAAAGTTTTAAGACTCATTATGGGATGCATATATGATTTCACAAGATTGCTATGGAAACAAAAGTTTGTTTGGCGTTTAAACTTCAATTTGAGATTTGAACACTAAAATTTTTTTCACTCATAATGTCGTATAAATTTGAAATCCGAAAAAGTATTTACCAATTGGTTGGGCGAATGTCTAGGGTTGAAATTATTCCAAATTTCTCGAGACCGAAATATATCGGTGAGTACCATAACAGATTGCAAACAGGAAATTCTATGCCAAAATCTGCCTAAAAGTGGAAGACCACGTCATTTCAATCCTCAGCAGTGTCGTAGAATAGTGAGAAGAACAAAAAGCAAGGTCGGCGTGTCTAAACGAAAAATAGTCAGCGAATACAACTTCTCACAGTAAAATTTGCAGAATTTGAAAAAGAAGTGGTTAAGTATATCATAAAAGACAAAAATGTCTCAAGTATACCCGTATTCAGCTGGCCAGAATACCACGATGCTGGCGAAATCTTCGACGTGTACACTTTGCAAATAACAAGTCGATCATTATTGATGATGAGAAGTATTTTACTTTGAAGTACTCCGAAATAAAAGGAAACGATGGATTTTACACAGATTACGTGCTGTGCTAAAAAATAAATAAAAGGCTGCTATCTAGAGTATTCCTCCTCTATTTAAAATATCCCTTAACAGTAGTAGCCACTTTCGGGTTTTGTAGCTATCTTAACAATTTTGTGACGTTGGGATAGCACAAAATGTATATAAAAAATATTGGGCCGCATGTGTTTTTGACAATACTAATACTATTTTAGAATATATATAGTCAGGAAGGAGGAATCATAAACGACCTTGGAATCGCGATGGTATCTAATTTTGACAGTGAACTAGATGAATATGACGACAAGTGTTTCCGGTCTACCAGTGACCTTAGAACTTTTCCACAAATAAGGTACAGTATGAAGATTAATGCACATATTTAAAATATTCATTAGAGGTACAGTAAGACTTACAGTACAGTCTCTAACTATAAACGCCGGCACATGATCAGGGATAGTGGTTTAGTTTCAAAAAATATAGTTAAGTTAAAATAGTCGTATATCAACGAGATTGTTTTGGATTTAACAGGAAATTAATTGACACCTGTTTTGTGATACCTGACCTAGTTTGATATTTTTTATTTTAAAAATGCCAGACTCAAATATTACAGTACCTGAACGAGATATTGACACATAAATATTACTACAATTAAAACAATGTTTTTCACCCCCCCCCCCCCCATTTTACGATTATAGCAATACTTTGTTCCTCAAACTTTGTATTATTTAAACACATCTTCTAACCTTAAAAAGTTTATATTTTTTTAAAAGACAAAAAAGTTACGAAAAATGAATACAATTATTGAAATTTATTCAGTTTAAAATTACAAATTTATATTTTATCTGAAAGCCAATCTATATAATGGGCAACCCTTGTGTAGACAATTGGGTATTCCGCAATTCCACATCCATTATGGAAACTTGAAATAATTCCATACTGAACTCCATCAATAACTAGTGGACTACCTGAATCACCCTGAAATAAAAATATTCACAATGAGTTAATTAAATAATAAATGAAAATTAAATATTTTACACATTCTTCCTCAATAATTAAATATAATACGTTTTAATAAGGAATAACAATAAAAACTGACTTATTATTAAGGAGTAATTGGCATTCAAATAAAAAGAGGCTAACATATTCTGTTTAAATTCAAAGAAAACAATAAGAATATTAATATACAAATAAAAAAATGTGAAATAAATTTATAGGTTTACGGTGTACGGGCTACATGAACCTCAAATTCGGATACAGCGCATAGAAATACCCTAGGTGGATTCAGTCAAATGTACTGACCACTTTTTTTTGTGTGCTGGCGCAATTGTTAAACAGTTTAATAACAATAAACTATAGGAAAGTTAAAAAAATCTCGAGAAGACGCATACTAATTTTTCCAAAGGGCAGAATAATTTTCCCCGTAGGAGACCCTCCTTGCAGCGGCTTAAGACCACGGAGACTTTGATCGGAGGCTCTGGATCGGTATCTCGAAAGTTAAAAGATCTTTTGTATTTTGAATCGCGTTTTTAACGTTTAGTGTTCTGACATGTGCCCCGAAAATGTGATCAAAAATAACACCCAAGTATTTGGCCTCTTCGGCAAATTGAGTCTTCACTGTTTTCAGTACTAGTGACTAGGGATGTTGCGATACTACTGATATGATACTGGTATCGATACTTTTCTTTCGATACCGGGTATTTTAGTACCCGATACTTTGCTTTCGATACTTTACTCATATGGGTACTACTTTTGTTTCGATACTACTACTTTCGTTTCAATATTTTACTAGTTTTGACTTTACAATACGAACAAAAAGTATATTGTAGGATCACTTTATGGTATGATTTGTCGGCGTATCCTATGACCTTTTTTTTTTTTGTTGTTTTGTACTCTTCCCGATATCGGTATCGATACTTTGCTTCCGATACTCCTTTCGATACCAGTATCGATACTTTACTGGTATCGCAACATCCCTACTAGTGACTTTAGTCCTATCAGTATCTTTCGATTTGATGACTATTGCGGTCTTTTGAGGGTTTATTGTTGGTTCCTCCTATATGCACAACTCGTCAACGATATTTAAAACGGTTTGTGTGCACTCAGATATTGTAACTGCGAACTTATCATCTACGGCGACCATCAGGTCATCGGCATACATTGGGCAGTATAAGTCTGCAGATATCAACCTTTTTATAAGTTCGTTAATTAGAACTGACCAAAAAAAAGGTGACAGTATTCCACCCTAGGGGTAGTCTCTGCCTGCTTTAGTCGCCAATGTAGTTTCACCTAGAGATGATGTTGTTAGCATTTCTTATAGGCTGGCTATTATCCACTGAGATAGAACTACTGGTACCACTTTCGTTGCTGGTGTGTTAATTATAGATCTTGTATGGGTCAATAGCGCATCCAGAGTTTAAGTCTGGGTGTACTGGTAATAAAGTTTAAGTCTAAGTTGTAATTTTTAAGTCCCTAGTTTTGATAATAATACGATTTAATACCCATACAATATTAGATTTAAAAATCTTGGAAGGAAGTAATTACCTCCATTACTCCTTCCATATAAACGCTCCTGGTATGGGCATTATTAAAAGCTCCCCTAATATCTACGAAAGTAGGAGGATTAAATTATTTAATCGAGATTTTCTAACGTCAAAAATATGTCAACGGTTTGTCAGTGTATTTGGAACTTTCTATTTGTGTCTCTTGTATTTATTTTATTTGAATTTTATTAAAAAACGGAAACAAAATACCAGCTTTTTCTGAAAGGTGACAAATATTTTAGCCAAAATTACGAGAGGAATGAATATTTTTATACGATGGGCAATTTTGTAATTTTTAAGATATTTTTTATATTCTAACGTTACAACATAGTTCTTTAGTTAGATGGCAAATCCAGATATGTTGAAAAAGGTAAAAATAAGTAAGCAATACATATATTATTTATGTAATATTATCCACTTTTAAATACTGAAAATATGTCATATCTAGTTTTGAGCATGAACAGTATAGGGACAGTATTCACAGGTCGTTTTGCATAGAAAAGCTTGAAATACAGCAATTTGTATGTATTATGTTAATTACCAAAAATGTTATTGGTTTTGCCACCTAATCATAGAATTATTTTTTAGATTCATTTGACATTCTTTTTTACCCTGCGTAAAATTTGATACACGTTTTTGGTACATTTAAAAAATAGGCTTCTATCTTCAAACGGCCTTTTATCCTTTGACATACATTTCTCCTACGCAAATCTGAAGTTTTCTTCTTCTCTTTTTTTGTGAAATTTATAAAAATCCATTGTTGTCAGATTACTAAACTCGATTATCTAATCCTTAGCCGGTGCATAGAAAATAATCACTAGTCATTTAAACGAGATTTGCAAATCTGAATTAAATTTTAAAAGGGTGCATTTCAATAATTTCGTTTTGTATCTGATTTTTAAGTTTTGCACTCGACTAATGCGCTCTCTAGTCACAGGATCAAAAGAGGAAATCAACTCGACAGCTTTAAGGAAGTTTCCATTATCAAATTCAAAAAGTATTTTAGAAGAACCTTAGAACGCTAGACATTGTCTGGATAAAAATTTGACAACTGCAACAATTCTTTCCAGAACGTCATGCCAATATTTTTTTTTTCAGTTTCTAAAACCCGTAAGTAATGATCGTATGGTTGTGGATAATTTTAATATTTTTTTTAATTAATCCATGTATTCATGTGAACATTATGTACAATTGATGTTTCATGTCTTTTTATGGCTAACGCCCATATGCACCGTTTTAAAATTTAATCCAGATTTGCAAATCTCGTTTAAATGACTAGAGGTTTTTTTCTATGCACCGGCTACGGATTAGGTAATCTAGTTTAGTAATCTGACAACACTGAATTTTTATAAATTTCCCAAAAAACGGAAGAAGAATACTTTAGATTTGAATAGGAGAAATGTATGTCAAAGGCCGTTGAAGATAGAAGCCCTATTTTTTTAATGTATCAAAATAGTAAAAACACTGTAAAACGCATACATGAGTTTTGTGACGCATACAGAATTTTACGCAGGGTGAAAAAGAATGTCAAATGAATTAAAAAAAAAAAATAATTCTATTGTGTTCATTTTTAGTAATTTTAACATATATACATCTGTTGTATTTCAAGCTTTCCTATGCAAAACGATATACCTATATGAATACTTTCTCTACATTGTGCATGTTCAAAACTATATGGATGACATATTTTCAGTATTTAAAAGTGTACAGAAACACATAAATATTATAATATGTATTGCTTACTTATTTTTACGTTTTTTAACATATCTGGATTTGCCATCTAACTAAAGAATTAGAATATAAAAAACTTCTTAAAAATTACAAAATTGCCCATCCTATAAAAATATTCATTTCTTTCGTAATGTTGGCTAGAATATTTGTCACCTTTCAGGAAAAGCTGGTATTCTATTTCCGTTTTTTATTAAAATTAAAATAAAATAAATAAAGGAAATATGGAAATAGTCAAGGTGTGCCTGATGATGAAGTGACAACTTCGAAACCGGTCGCCAATTAAATTGACTTGTGAGAAATAAAGGACCTTTTCTTTAACCCCCTCCCCCTTACACTTGCTCCATTTTTCTTCTTACAATCTTCCAAGTAACTTTCTTCACAAACACCACACCTCCAGTTATCTTCATTGTCATTCTGCTGTTGAGGAACTTTCTTTTCAGAAATAGTCTTGGCTTTGGATGTAGACGACTTCTGAGTCTTGACGTTCATTGCAGATTTTATCTTGACTTTAGGGCTATTAGTACCTAACGTAGAAGGTTCGTTTAGTGAGGAAACATCATCAAAATCATTGAGACATTTAGCTTTCGAATCCCGTTTCCTTTGGTTTGCTTTGGCAGGAACATCGGGTACACTGGGTGCCACTGGTAGAGACAATAACTGCTTCTGATCAGTTACAGTGGCTGGCTCAGTTTCATCTGCAATAACTGGTCCTTGAGGAGCTGCTTTATTGGTAAGTAGAGACAGCGCAACAGCCTCAGTTTTTCGAAAAGCATTTATGATATTGGAACGACAAAAACATGCGATAAATGCTGGATTTAACAGAGAGTGAAAATTTTGCCTGTTGGGTTTTTTTGTAGGACGTTTTCTCATAAAATCGTTTAAACTCTTAGACCAAATGGCCTTAAAGGATTTATACACGCCCACATCTAGAAGTTGAAGCAAATGAGATGTGTGCGCCGGAAAAGTGAATAAATAAATGTCATTCTCTTTAGCTAGAGAAATTACTGTGACATTTATATGAGAGGCATGAGAATCCATCAGAAGGATAACAGGACGAGCTGGAGGAATTGGTTTAATAAAGAATTGGAACCACTCCAGAAATAAATCAGTGTTGATCCAACCCTTAGGAGACAGTTTAACTAGTGTACCAGGAAGACAGTCTGATTTTAAATTATCATTACAGCGAATTCCTTTGAAAATAATTAGGGGAGGAATCCATGTCCTGTCAGCACAGATACAACCAAGAAGTGTATGTGACTCACCCCTATCAGCATATGTTCTCTTGTAAATGTTTCGTCGCAATTCCATATTCTACTAGGCATGTTCTTTATGTTTAGCTTCTCCATGAGTGCTTCTAGTTTTACGAAGTAGTCCTGTATTATCTCTGGATTGCCCATAGAGGCGCGATAAGCTGCGAGATTTTCTGGAACACCATTTACTTGCAGAATTGTTACCTTCCTTGAGAAAATTTTCTCTACCAGATTGTTTTGCCAATTCTAAAGCTGTTTTTCTTACCATTTTAACTGTTAGACCAAAACCTAGTTCCTGCATCTTGACAATATAATTGAATAGTTTCGTTTCAATTTCTGGCGTCAGTGCATATGGCCTTCCTAGTTTTGCAACTTGTTGCTGGTTGTCTTGGTTTTTTGACAAAAAATCTTTCAGCGTACTTCATGGTATCCCAGTTTCTTTGTTTGCTCTATAGATTGTCATGTTTGTTTCTCTTACTAACCTACCAGCTTCTATTAAATTATTAAATCAGATATTTCATAACTGCGATATTTTCTTATTTTGTCTTCCATGAATTACGTCAACGTTCCTTATGTGAATTGAAGAGTCAACGACTATTTTCTTAGAAACTGTTATCGCGTATCTAATTTCATTATTCTGGTTTACATTTTTATATGCATTACTTCACTTGTTAATTAGATCTCTTGATAGTTAGATGTATTGTTAGATGAAATAAAACTTGTAAAATAATAAAATATTTTTTTTTAAAAACGAATTTCGAGATCAGAAAATATTTGTCATGTTAAAGCTGAAATTACAAACAATAGGTAAATTCGTGATGATAGGTAAGTTCGTGATATGTTCAATAACGTTTTTTTTTTACATAAAGTTCGTAGTAAATCATAAAAATGAAACATTCTTAGAATATGGGGTAATTTTACTGCGTGCGAAAAAAGATATTCAAAATTCAACAACCCTAGCATTTTAACATCTTCAGCACATGTAAAAAACGTAAGAAATTAGCTCCACGGAATAATCAATTACGGTAAAACCAAGCCAAAACTTGTAAATCGCATTTGACAGGAATATTCCCCATTTCAAATAATATAATTGGTATAAATTTGATAAGCCTACCTTTCGGTAGTTCCTTTTGAAACAGCAGATCTCTTTCTAGTTGCAAAACCCGCGAAAAATTACGACGTAATACGCACCACATGTAAACAAAGTTTTCTAATGACTGGTATGTTCGTGATATCTAAACGTGGCAGGTTGCGCCATCTAGTAGCATCATACACCATCCACTAGCCAAGGATTTATCCATCTAAAGCAATAGGCAACTTGCTGACAAATTTTCATAATTCTATCACGAACTTACCTATGTCACGAAATTACCTTACTTCACCCTATATTTTAGTTTAACTGTTGCCAACTTACATAACACGGTCCTCTCTTTTTACCATCAGACATATCAGCTTGTGCACATATTTCCTTTTCAGTGTCGACCGGATTATCAGTATCTTTCCAAATTTCTTCACATATTTTATTATCGATTATTGTCATATCCACTTTTTTGAGTAATTTTGATTGGATGTAACCAGTCTAAAGTTAAAATTATGCAAAAATATTTTTTGAAATTTTTGTTTAATATTGATACTAACAAGGTTTGTTTGACCCCATCCTGCGAACTTAGCAAGTTTTCCTTCTGGATTCGGCGCATTCTTTTGCGGTAATTTAATTGGTTGGACGGATTCACTAAAAACCATAGGAGGATCAACCTAAAAACAATATCTATTAATACCTAAATAAATATTTAAATTAAAAAAAAAAGCTTTGTTATAAGACCGACTAAAAAATATACACTTTTTGAACAATTCTTCGTCCACAAAATAACGTTTTGCCGATCGTAGAAGTTAGGGATCGATAAAAGCTTGTTCTGGTCGGTCTTAAAAAAAAGTTTATGAGGCACTATCTTCGATCACAAAAGGCCACTATAAGTAATGTATTGTTAATATAACAAGTTTTTTTACTGATTAATTATTTTATTCCATTATTCATGAGAGGAAGCAGGTAGTTGTTATGGTAAATTATTAAGTTTTCCATTGTAAAAAATAAAAAATAATGTACCTTCAATACTGCAATATCATCTTTGAGCGGATTGGTGAAGTTTTTAAACTTTTCGTGCATATAAATCTTAGTGACATTTGTTGCTGAGCCCTCATTAAATATTGTATTACCGTAATTAATTTGTAACCAAGATAATTTCCAGCTAAAAAATAAAAAGACAAAAAGGCACATTAAAATTTTGTATGAAATATATTAATTTTTACGAGTGATTATAAATTTTTCGAAAATATCCTGAAACACTAAATTTGGAAGGGGTTCAGCAGTATATTTTGTTAAATTTCATTTAATTAAATAATAATTTAATTTGAAAATATTTAAATATTGAAAATTTTGTTGTAAAATTTTAGAAATTGAAGATTTAATTTTTTTTAGCCTTGTATTCTATGTAGGTTATGGATTGTACTAGTATTCTAAAACTCTATAATACTATAATACAGGAGTGTTATTACATACTCCTGCACCCCTACAGACTGGCCTTAATACTGTTTCCATGCGCCACTTTAGAAACAGTCGAGTGGGGAATCCTACCTATGCATTAGAATTATTATTTAATTTATTTTTTTTTATTAAATAAAAATCCTTGCAGCCGGTGAGAATTGGTCCTGATATTTCTAGATCTCAAAGTCATGACTCTACCCACTGAGCCAACCCCACCCACCAGAAGATTTAATTTTTTACCATTAAAATAAATGGACAATTTAACAGGAGAAGCAAACATATAAGGATAATTTCCTGACCGAAGCAGAATTTTATATAAATAAATATTTTTCTAGGTTTTATCGGTCAAATGTTTTTATTTTTACTGTTTAGCACACTACATATGTTTCGGAAAGTACAAATTTTTTATCATTTTTAAAACGACATCAAATTGTCACAAAAAATCAACATGGATTTTGCGCAGAAAAGTCAACAACAACAGCTATGATCTCATTTTATAATTAGATTATTGAACATATTGAAGCAGCCCTGTGGCGATATTCTGTGATTTAAGTAGGGCATTTGACTGCGTGAATCATGAATTATTATTATCTGTCCTGGAGACATATGGAATTAGAAGAAATTCTTTAAAATGGATCTCCACCTTTCTTAAAGAACGACAGCAATATGTATCTCTAAACTTTAAAATAGATAAAAAAAAACTAAAGAAATTAACTCTTTTAGATACACATATGGGAGT